CGTTAAGTTATAAATTGTTGACGAATAGAGAAGTAATTCTTTAGGAGATGTTAACTATATTAGTGTCTTTTTTATGGAAACAAATTAGTTAGATGCTCGACGCACAATTATATATTATTCGCTTCTAATATCTTGCGTAGTGGTGTATGCCTTTTAAAATATTGTTTTGAATTTTTAGCCACTTATTGTTTATTGTTAATAAATATAGAATTCTAATCTAGATAATAAAATTTATTAACAACAAAATCAGACAAGAATTGTTTCATTGTTGCGATCCGATTTCTGTTTAACAGTGAGCCACAGCTTCGGTTATGGGCTGATGGACGCTACTGCCATGGTTCGCTTAGCAAGAAGATGGAGGACCGTCCCGGAGCAACACAGATGCGAAGTATCAGCGCCACATACAGGCAGGTAAGTGTTCTCAAATTATGCTTTAAAGTTATACTATTAAATAAATAATACGAATTTAGAAAGTTCTTTTTTCAAGGCAAAACCTTGAATAAAAGAGAATTTATTATCAATACACGAAGAAAAAAAACAACATTATACAAAGAATCATTTAAGAAAAATGCTCGAAGGTGAGAGAAATCGGAATTTGATTTGACCATATACGTACTATAGATCGCTATCTGCCCCTTGAGGGAACGAACATGTCTCTCGCAGATTACAGATTCGTTCAAGCATGTCGACTACCATCAAGCGGACTTTACTCGTATGAAATTGCACTGGAAATCACGTGTAATACGTCATTTACATTGTCAAGGATTGTAACGAATGAGAACAAATTGCACGTTGCGTTGAATGAGCGTTTACATAACATAAAATGTAATCATTTTGAAGCTGCACTCCTCTAAAGCCATTAAACATAAAAGCCATAGTTAAAATTCTATGTATACAATAATCCTGAAAATTTCGTGCTCTTAATGAGCGAGTAATAGAGAATTATTAATGCGATTTAATATTTGTTATTTTAGAATTATATTCAATGTTTGAAAAGAAATGTACAATCGTGTTCTTTTTATAATCCTACTCTTCAGAAAAAATTGTTATATTGATATTTTATATTTTATCGTTTTATACATATACATTAAAAGAAACTATTTTTATTAAAAAATGTAGAATAAAATAACAATATCAAGTTATATCTTACTACAAAAATATCAAGTTACTATTAAAGGCGCTTTCGAGAAGTAGCATAGCTCGAGAGTTATAAAATGTAACAAATAATGCGCAATTGACCGAATTGTTCGAGTAATGATTTAAACAACAAAAGGATATATCCACTTAAAAATATCTGCGATAAAATTGTATGCGCAGGCTTGACACTTGACCTAATTTTTTCGTATACTTTCTAGGACAATACCACCAAAGAGCCAATTGGTCCTCGACTTACATGTCAAGGATTGCAGCGGCGTTAATTTCCTCGAGCACGTTCAGGTAAGTTGAGCATGTCATTCACAAGTGACATCGCTAATTAGCGGATTTCATGTCGGCTATGAGAAGCACAAACTCGGACTACATTTTGAGAACAAAATGTTTCGCCAGCTGGTGTTGAAGTGGTAGAATTTTATCTACTTTTCATTTGAATAAACTAATTTATTTGTCATCATTTTATACTGTCTATAATAAACTAAGGCAAACTGTAATTCATGCTAAATAGTTATTTAATCTTTAGGAAATTAACTTAAAGTGCATTAATGACTGCTTCTGCTGGCGAAATGTAATTATTAGATCCGGTTCAAATCTCGTGTTGAAGAAATTAAACTAACGAATTAAGTTAATTACTTTTATAAAATTATTAGTTACACAGCGCGAAATTATCTCGTAAAATCTACGTAAATTCTGACTTATTTTCTTTTTTAGGTTACTTAACTGGTAAAATTAGATACATAGTTATTAAAGAGTTTTTAATAAAATGTTGTTACAAAGTTATTACATACATAAAGTTATTAATAAAATGTTATGACACCAATTTAGAAATTTTAATTTATTTGCACAAAAGATGTGTGTAGAAAATCGTAAATATTGGCAGTGAAAAATATACGTAATTGGTGATAATGGCATAATGATACGTTTGTCGCAGGCGAAAGTATCGCTGATGGCAGCAAGACGAGGAGATCTTCAGATACAGCTCACGTCTCCTCAAGGCACGAAGAGCACTCTTCTCGCTAAAAGGCCGCACGACATCTCGAAGGCCGGTTTCAGCCAATGGCCATTCATGTCAGTGCACACGTGGGGAGAGAGGCCGCACGGGACCTGGAAATTAGAAATTCACAATGAGGGTCGATATCTCGGTAAGTGGATTACATCTTCGCGTTATCGCATAATCGATGAAGAATGTTTGATTAACAATCGTTTGATGAACGATCTAGTACGATATTAATTGGATCAATAATTGAGACTGTCTTTAATATACCATAATTTTTTATCGCTATAACTAGTTACCAATTAAATTAAATTAACTGAAATTACTTTATTAAATTATTTAATTAGATGAAACTAATCCGCTCAATTATTAAATTATTTAACTTTAAGTAATGTCTAATAAAACAAATATTAATTAAAATTAGACTCTTAACATTAGAAAAATTGCATTCATCATCTTAACATAACTTTTTTAATCTATAACAAAATCTAAAAGCCGTTTGCATTAATTAGACTTACACAATTTTCCAATGCAAAAAAATTGTGCATTTCCAGTATAAAAATGTCATATCTGAATCCTTTTAATACAGAAAGATTAATTTTATTAATTAGACTATACTTGACGAAATGACTAATCAAATTAGTCGATAAATACACATTTTAAGAACATTTTAATATACTTAATAATATTAAATTCTTATTAAGCTCTTTCTAATTTTTTTAAAATAAGATTTCTTTCAATTGTATTTGAAATATATGAAATATATTTAACTGGCATTCGTTCAAAGACCATTATGCGAAATCTTAAACTTAAACGTCAAAGACAAAGCGCTTTGTAGATTATGCCGGCATTAGCTCCTGCATTCGAAGATGCCCGGTCGATTTAAATTTCAAATAGAATTCTACCTTGTTCGCCGTAACAATAGTTTCCAAGCGCCTTAGTACCGCCTTCATAAGGTCACGGTTACCAAGTTCCCTGTCAGTTGCATCTCACAGTCGAAAATGCCAGCAAGAAGTTCGCTGATATTAACATCTGTTTTCTGACTTACACTGGAAAAAATATTGTACACAAGAAATTCAATTCAAAACGCTACAATTATCCGTGATATTCTCGCGATTTTAATTACTCCTCGAACAATTGTAAACCGTATGACAAAGGATTAACCGATTCATACGCGTGACATCCAGACGGAATGGCTCAGACATGTCTAGCATTGCATGCGCATCCTGCAATCCGATGCGGAGTTGGTGTTCAGCTCCGCGAGATCCTTCGGGATCCATCGCATTCTGTAGCCTCCTGTCTGGGACGCAACTGAGAGAGCTCTTACATAAGACCCATTCGCGTGCAATCGCCTAAGAAGCTGCATTATCCTCACAGACGGATAATTGCCAGATTCGAGCTGTGGAGTCTTCTCGCAAGCTCTCCTACTTATCCTTAACGGCAAATAACAGCGAGGTCGTGGAGCAACGAAAGCAGCCGATGCAAGCGTTAAGCCACTTCGAACTGCTTCCGTGTCGGCTCATCAAGGCCGATGGCTACGTAAACTTCCTTATGTGCTTATGCATCGTCGACCTGTATCGCTGTAGAGCAGCATCCACATTCATTATCGCGAATTGTATGCCAGAGACGCGAGGGTCGCAGGAATATTCAAGACACTGTTAAACTATGTATCCAGTGTTTATACTGTCACAAGTATTCCGTGGACGTATCTTGCAGACCCTGAATGTAAAGCTGATGTGCTATCGAAGGGACTTCCAAGAAGGATAATTCTCTGACGTTCTCGTTAACTTCCTCTTAAAGGAAGCTGCTTTAAGAGGAAGTTAGTGAGAAGACCCGTCGAGGATCACGCGTATTATAACTCCGAACTTCTGACCAATATCTTTAACCTTTCAACCCCAGTTAATTTTTGATATACTGTATTATTATGTACTGCGTCGTTCAACGCGCCAGTAAACATTATATTCCTGTCTCTCTTTAACCATGACGTCCGATTTCTTTTCGCTGCATTCACGGACGCATCACGGATCAGGACGCGCTACTCTGCACGAATGGGCGTTGATTTTCTACGGTACCGCAACGCTGCCCGATCGGACCGAATACGCTCTTTACAATCCGGCCGGTATGAGTATACCCAGACGACCGTTCGTCAAGCCACGCGAGACCATCCCGAAGAACCAGAACACCTTGGCGAAAGGCAAGCAGACGCAGCACAAATCCGACAAGTCCGGCAGTATGAGCCCGCCCTACGTGATGAACGCTCAGATTCAGTCGCAGAGGAAGGGCAAGGCCCGCGGTCAGTACAAGAATGGCAAGTCGGCTAATCGGCCGAATCCCAAGCCCACCGTTCAGACTCTTCGGGGTCTCACCGGAATCAATAGAGGGTCCATCAACGTAGCCGGTGACGTGCGTTTGATCACGTCGAGACCACGTGGGAGAAGTACACCCAGCCCTGTTACCAGCACCGTGATCCAGACCGTTGCGACAACAAAGGCGCAGACCACCGCGACAAGTAAACAGATTATTACACAGAAGATTATCGACGTGGTTACCGCCTCGCCCCTTCAGCGGGGACTGATCTTGTTGGAACCACCAGCAAAGGCGGCCACTAACAAGGTCCCGGCGGTATTTCAACAGTATCCCAAGATTCAACAGCTTTATCCAGTTTACGGTGGAGCTCGCGGTACCGGTCAGCACGCCACAAGGGCCAAAGGACTCGACCTACTGCAGGACGAGCAATTTGACCCAAGGAATCTGCAACTGGACAAGGGTACCTAACGAATGAGAAACGGCGAATGTGTCGGTTGCTTAATGGCAACGATCGGAAGTTATTATATTTGCGTGAAAGTATCATTAGATTTTTACAAAGTTGATTAATTTGAATTTTAATTGAATTAAATTAAATATTGAAATAAAATCTGCAGCAGCGAAAAGCAGAATTTGAATTTGAATTTAATTAAAATAAATTAAATGTATAATAGAAATAAAATTTAATTGTACAATAAAACACGAGCACTTTCCCGCTGTGACTATTCCACACAATTCGTTAAGAGATGTTGTTGTCATTTTAAAATAACATAAGTAAAAAGTTTTACATACTCGATAATTGAATTGAAAACAAATAAATATCAGTGTCACGTAATCAAAATATAATGATTTGCATTATTTGCTTGATTAAAATGTCTACAAAAAAAATGTAGTGTCGCCCGCATAGATAATCGCGGTGACTAATAACGTCAATCTATCTGCTCTATTGTGTTCCCAGCGACGGTATTTTAAACCGCGAGACAACAAAGAAGGTCGTTTCGCACAGCTTCCGATCGTTTCCCATTCGCTTCCACGCATCCGCTCGCGCACCCACGTGAAGTGTGGAAAGTAGAGATGCATCGTGCGCAAAGCCCCGAAGATTAAACGGATCCGCTGGAATTTGGTTTTCGTATTTTCTCTTTTGTGTTAGTTGTTTCGCTGATTGCGACCACACCGTAATCACCGTTACTTTTGTTTGTACACATGGATACATTATTCCTCTGGCTATTAATATGCAACACTGTAGACAAGCTTATTTCTTATTATTCATGTTTTTTTTTTATTTAAGTTTAGAATATTTCACGTGATTCTTATGTATCTTCTATTGTAAGTACGATAGAACTCTCTTTTGCATAATGCTCTCCTTTCTAAAATGAGAGTTTTCTGCAAACTTGATGTTTTCTGCAAAACTTTATTTTGTCTGTGACATTTTTGTCGGAATACTTTATATAAAATATTTTGTATGATATTTCGTATAAAGTGTTATCTTTAACAACTCTCGTTAGAGTTCTTGTTAGATGGATCTATAGATAATGCTGTAAGTAAAATTTTATTGAGTAAATATATATTTGCATGATTAATTTGCACGAATAAGAATATATACAAATATTTTTTTTATTTTAAACAAATTCTGCTTGTATTACTGCACTTAATAGTTTTCACGCGCTGAGAGAACTGCCAGTTTTTTGTGTAGTTACTTATAAATTATTTAAGAAAGTTGTATTTAAGAAAATTGTGTTCGATATACTATATTTTTGTATAAATTTATAAAATATCCATTCTCTTACACCGTAAGCTATTTGCCATCGCATCCACCAACGATCGCAACTTCCAGGAAGCTCTTTTGTAAGTATAAGTAGTATTTCACACAATATTTTGGATAGTTTCGTCGCTCTTTGTGTCAAGTGTCGGATTTTTCATCATGTTGACGCTTAATTTCTGCGTCGCTTTCCTTCCTGTTGTTACACTCGAAGCCTCTTGCGTGAACGGCAGACTCGATAATAGGAAAACTTATTGAGGGCGCTATGGCCTTCAGTCACAAAACTTTCAATGACTTAGTTATCGATGAGCTTCATATGCAGCATCGACCGCATCAGTATGCGTCGGTTATCTAATGTATTGCCGGCATGTATCGCCTTGTATCCTATTATTCTCATACTCCGCATGCAGACCATCTTGTCTTTTGCACGAGAAAATTGTGCATTTCACCCGCGAGAAGACTATGATATAATATGAGTTAATAATTGTTTTAGATATTCCATATTTTAGATATTCCATTAACATTTTTATATTTGCCGCTGTATTTGTCATTAAAATATAATTGAAAGAGATACGATCACACATTTAGAAAATTTATATTCTTTCATACATAAATAATACCTTATATTTTTTATTTTATTTGTTTTGTAGCATTACTTTGATATCATATATCTTAATTTAAATATATTAATAATATGAAAAATTTTTTCATATTTCAAAGTAGCAACGCAACGGCGTAAATCTCACAAATAGTGTTCATATGATTGTGCATTGCGCTTGTTATCTCCTTTTCGAATTCTCGAATTCTAGATCACCGCGTAACCGCAAATCATTCAAAATGCAGTGAAACGCGACGACGCGAACGGTACTGAAAACCGCTAATGCGTGCCGTGAAATGGAAAAGCCGACGAGAGCGAAACGAACCCCATCACGGAGACCGAGCGGCTCCTCTCGTCCATCATCGCTGCTAAATAATTTCCTCCATGATTGGAAATTTTTTCACTCGCTTACTCCGCAAAATGGTTCCCGCTCTCAAGGCATTATTATCGGAGATTTCTCTCCTCCAATAGTGCGCGCTAACGACCTATCGAGCACAATGCCCTTATATTTCCATTGTCTTACGAATAGCCTGCCACATCGTCCCAATCGACTTTTGACATTTTTTGTTTCTCTCTCATCATCCTCCCGCTTATTTTCCCCAACCCTCGGTTGCAAGTTATTTTCTCGATACTTCTCGTAAAAGCGAGGGAGCTGTCCAAGCGTCGCGACGCTTGTCACTTTACAGTTACCTAGCGCACTCGTAACAGCGAACATTTTAACGATTACTTTATTAAGCTGGCAGCCGGTAGTTTAGTTACCAGCCAAAAAAGCACACACGAGAGTAGTCCCGTCACGATAAATTGGATCCGCTTTTCCGCCGCTTTGATTTCTGGTATCCCGTCACAACTCTCTCTCTCTCTGCTTGTGAATTCAGCTTTTCCTACGGGATTGATTTCATCTGAAGTTATATGTACGTTTTAACTTTACTATGCTGTGTAAGTAAACAAGATATAAATTAATATGAATGTTTAGAAAAATTAATTCATTTCTTAAGGAATGAACGTTTCATCGTAAATGGAGCAGGAAATAATAAATATTTCGAGATCAATATTAAGATTTATATTTATTACCGATAATCAAGCATGATGTTTTACCTTAAATGAATTCTTTAAATTTATTTCTTGTTGATTAATATGCAAATCTTGTTAAATTATTGACATAGTTTAAACCAGTGGTTGAGTATCAAATAATCTTCTGAGTTCTTAATACCTGGCAGAGAACATGATATTTAAAATTAGCTTCCATTTAACTAGCTTTTTTATCTTGCCCGCAGCGCAAGGAACTTGCAGATGTATCTTACCCGAAGTAAAAACGATAATCGTCCACGAGTTTTTACTATTCTCTCGTTGCAAAGCACTTTGCATTTAATTCCGACGTACACATTGCGCTGAGTGAATGTGCACGGAGAGTCGTCGCTGATTACTCGGTTATTTTTAACTCTAATTTAATCAAGCCTCGACTCTTCCTCCCCCGCGCGCGTTTCCCTTCTATCGCGGACATTGTTCCCGCGAGCCAGTTTAGGACGAAATTTTCCCCACGGCATCCCGACGCTTTATTAATTTCCTGGACGGCGCCGACGACGTCTCCGCCACTCCTTCCGCTGTCTCGCTCGCGTCTCGTCTACCTCGCAAAACCATCCATTTTACCGCCTTCACCTCTCTGCGAAATACAATATCTTACGTTATATTTACGGGCAAGGTCGCGGAATAATTTGCGAGAAAGTGAAAAGCACGTTATTCAATAAACAGATGAAAAATTAGTAGTAGATACGTTCAATAATTATGATTTTGTTGCTGTGCAACGACTTATTAATATGAATATTTTCATAAGGTTTGTGTCTTAAAAAATATATACTTTGACATTATTATACATAAGACGTTATTAATATTTTTATATTGTCCGGAGATAATTTAAATTCCGCTTCCATCAGAACCTTGCCCATAAAAATGATGCTGCGAGGTCTGCGAGCTTACGTTTCTATTCTCAGGAATCCACGGTACGTATACCACGATATGTAAAATCTACCAGGGTTGATTGCAATCGTGTCTGCATGTGTGTACTTAATGTAAAGATGACAGTAGGCAGTAGTTATTATTGCATAATTGTCGTACAGAAGACAAGTATGTTATTCTCAGTTCATTCTTCGCTTACAGAACAAAAATAAAATTGTGGCACGCTTGGATATTTTAAATTTCACATTAGTATCGCATATATTATACGTTTGTCAAAAAATTACAATTATTTAAAGAGTATCAGAGGTAGAAGAATTTTCAAATATTTAATAGAAAGAAGAATAATACAAAGAAAGAAGAATGTCGCAGGAGAACAGTTTCGGCAATACAAATTTTGACAATTATTTCAATTTTCTTCTTTACTTTTTTTTATGTGTGCTATATCTTCGCCGTAATCTTTTTCTGCCTCCAATGCTTTCAAGATCTATGTGGATCATTCTTCGCGAAGTGTTTCGCACATTCATATGAACTAGTCATTAGCTACACGAAGAGAACGGCTTTGCTGTAGTAACTAAAAATTTAGCTAGATCTAAAAATAATTCTGTTGGAGCATTAAAATAATCATGTAGGACGCTGAAATTTTTGCTAGAATATTGAAATTTTGTGGCAACATTGCTCATCATGTTTGAAATTTCTACATAATTATTTTGATTACTCCAACATAATTATTTTCAAATTTGTTAGCTAAATTTTTAGACACTTCAACAAAATCGTTTATTATATTATTGGAATCGTGCTAACGTAGATGGGGTTATTGTTTTAGACACGCTGGAGGAATGGAAGCTTGTGTTTTTCGGCACGGATACCTCAGTGGAAGTGGACGACGAGCTAGATAAGGACAAGCCGCTGCCGCCAGTGGTCCATGAAGAAGTCAACAACGCACCTTCGGATGTCCGGCACAACACTGTGGATACCGAGGGCGATCCTTGGACAGGTAGCCGAAAGATGGATCGAGTTTCACACCCAGAGGTGCAGAGGCCAACAACGGAGAACCAGACGAGCGGTTGTGCCGCCTTCAATGCCGGAGGCAGCGGGTGCCTAGGTGGGTGCCTCATACTACTCCTTCTAGCCTACCTGACCAGCGTGCCCGGCTGGCGAGAGTTGATCATCAGCTGGCCTGCCTCAACGAACAGTTGGAGCGAATTTGGCGCGGAGGCGGATCGGCTGCTGATCGCGGCAGCGAACGTCGTCCCAACGACGACGCCGACGTCGTGGGTTAGCGACGCGACGACGCAACGCGTTCCGACGGCGATACATCGCGCGCCGGAAGCGTACAGGTGTTCATGATGACAGCGGGTTACGTTTGGTTTCGCGACGGCTCGCAGCTCGATCCTATGACTCCGGGTCACCGGGATTGTCGACGCGGGTGGTCGCGCGGATCTCGTGTGCCTGACGCAGTCTTGTGATCCGTGAAATTCTAATGTACTTGTGATGCGTAAAGAGAAGGTTTCGCGCGTAAAAATTGAAAGACGGGAAGGGAACAAAGAGGAGGATTCGTGCTTTCTCTTCCGGTGCTAATTGTCTTGAGAAGAGATCTGAAGAATTATCAATGCTGGAATATCGTCTGTCCTTCTCTTCCTGGGAAAAAAACAAATGATGTGTGTTGGATGATGAACACATTGAGTCTGAGGACTATATGGCTCCGTTAGAGCGTTCCTCGTGATCAGGGAAATGCGATTTTCTTGTTAACACGCGCCGTTAGACTTGGCCTAATTCGTTTGTATCGTGCAAGAAAGCGAGTCTCTCATAGTCGACACGAAACGTCCGGACGTCGTGACAACACTCTATTCGTAAGGAGTGTTAATGGTGGCTTCGACTGATTGAAGTTCATCGCGATGAGGATGCATGGCACGGGAAATGGGATTAAATGGCTACGAGGCAGGAAATGCACAGCTTTGTTACCGATTGCATGAACTCTTGATTTCCTGTTGAAAGCGCTTATTTCTGGAGGAATTTGACATAGTGTCCTATATTTAAACTATTAAAAAGATTTCTTCTTTTTCAATATTATTGTATTATAGACTTAGCCAATTGTAAATTAAGTAAAAAGTTAATACCAATTAAGCCGACACTGGATATTCGTGTGTAAATTTTGCCCAACTTTTTGATATTAAAAAATACATAAATTGCGTGCTACAAGAACTTTCAACAGAACTATATGTATTAGACAGTAGAAGTTTGCGGGAAGCTTCATATAATAATTTTATGATATTATTGTCGCAAATCCCAGAGGAAATTTAACATTGCAAATTTCTCGGTAGAGAACACGAGGAAACATGATTTTTTTATATGTTGCACGACCTAGTGTAGTATTCTATCTTTCTTTCTAAAATAATGCACAGTAAATTTGCATTATTTATTGCATTATTTGCTTGGTAATGGAATAAATAAGAGAAAATGTAAATGCATTATAATCCATAACTAATAAATAAAGAATAGATATAATATTCATTCTTTATTCATTAGCTGTTATTTAGGATTTAATGCAATGCGTGGAAATCGAGAGTTCACTACTTTCCGAAAATTTTCTGTCTCATAAAATTGCTACAGTTACAGCTGTAATTCTACGGACGCTTGTAAATATATGCAAAACGTATTTATTATACTTCGCGAAGTTACGTACGATCTTTGGAGTTTCAAAAGTAATGGCGCTGCGATCCCGTGGTATCCTCTTCCGCCACGTTGAACGAAGCAGAAATGGGTAAACAACCAATGTTTTGATAAATGTATTCTAGAATTCTGCTTGACTTTTACTGAAAGCAGTCTTAAGGACATCATAATGACATCATAAATCTTAAATCCACATTCGTCATTTTTAACTGACACTCTATTTAGCAAAGACGGCTAATTGAATTTACGTTTTATTTAATTAATACGAAGAATTCGTATTAATTAAATAAAAGTTTAACTTATTCATAAATTAAGTAGCATGTTAATTTATACTACTACATTCAACATTAAGGATGTACCCTCAAGAAGAATTTAGTTACATACATATCTTCTTCTACATATATACCTTCTTTTAGTTCTATGATAATTCAAGTGCAACTGTACATTACATTTGTGCACTAAACATTAAATTTTCTTCCAGAAATAGAACCAAACTTATCTCGAAGTTTTAACTGAAGATTCGAAAAAAGATCTGAGCGATCAAATGTAACGCGATCTATTCTGCTCAATTCTGCTCAACGTTTCAGTCGAAGCCCTCCATACGTGACAGCGTCCCATATTCGCATGTGTAATTTTCCACGTGAACTTTTTGTACGAGACAAAAATATAACAGGGAGCCAACTGCCATTAGCGAGATCCGACTCGCCCGGTCTCGCGCCCTGCCCCTCCTGGAAAAATTGCCTCGCGTAATTTATAATACATCTGATGGAGCTGCTTGTTGTTTACTTCAGACACTTGCCACGTCGTCGATTTTGATCGACGGATTTTGGCTTCAACGTGTTCCAGGGGAGAAGGGAGGAAACAGTTTTTCTCTCGCCTTCTATTTCTTCTTCTCCTTTTCCTCTATTTCTTTCCTTCTCTTCTCTTTCCTCTTTTTCTAGCTCATTCATTCAAATGCACGAAAACACATAATCTTTCTGTTCTTCTCTATCTCTCTTTCTCTCTTTCTGAGTCTTTTCGTCTATCGGTCTGCATCCCTTTTGTTTTTCGACATCCTTAAAATCCTCCCGTCTGCCAGCTTTCTTACATTCTGAACCTTCCTCCACGCTTCATAAGCACTCTGCGTCCTTCCAAGGAGGTAGGATATTCGGTGAGCTATCAGCACTGCCGAAACTAGAAGCTATAGGGAGGTTCTCCGGCTGCATATGTAAACAGTTGGGGATATGGTACACGAGACTGTATGTGGATTCTGGATGCATGTTGAACCTTAGGCTTTGTTAAGGTCAACGACGGTGATCATGTACTTAGAAATTTACTTTGATGAACAATTACACCGTTTCTTGTTGTTAGTATTATACTATTATGTTGTTAGTATTATATGTATTATTTCAATAACTGCAAATGTGCTTTCGTTATTCTTAATATAAATAAGGTCATTACAACATGCAAAGTTTCGCGAAAACGATAGTGATCAATAAAAAAGGATATTCTAGATTGTTATTATATTGACAAATATTATAAATATACAAATATTCATTACTTTACTTTACATTACTTTTAATAATTTAATGAAAAAAAGAATCGTGTTTGTGCCACGAGTATTATTCGTATGCCCATAATTCACATTCGGTCTCGAAAGTACAGTATATCAAATTTTCGACACGAAACTTGCTCAAAACGTTGTTAACTATGATAATTAAAAACCGCGTGATCCACAGGCGTATAAGTAATTAACGCCCTCAACGCTTAGTCGATTCGATGGCGATAAGAATGTCGCGTCGTTAAACGATTCGATATTTTCTGAACAATTTTTAGACCTCGTTTTGCTTGGAATATCGATAAAAACTGGCGGATATGTTCTATTGCTAGCTTAGAAGTGATCGCGCGTGCTTTGTAAAAATTTCGATTGCGGGGATAAGCGGTGAACTCGACGAGAAAGCCGGAGCTTCACGACGAGTTGACGGGGCGATTTTTCTTTATCGGGGAACGATCGTCAACGAGTTATCGAGTCGGAAGGAAGTTTTCACCATCGAGAATCCGCCACTGCGAAAATTCGTTTCTAGGATTTACGATTTATATCAACGCGCAGAATCCAATCATGTTCCGTCGAAAGTTGTAGGCCACAAATCAGAAGTTAACTGCGCACGACAAGCCAGGAATCGAATTACAATGGATATATTGTTATTTCTGCTTGGATTATGCATGCCGATTATAAACAAAACACGAACAGTTTTGAACGTTTGTACGAAATCGTGAGTTAAGAAACTAATATGTTGTCCATAGATTTCGTCGTACCTCGATCGAAAATCATACAAAGATACAATATTACCGTTCATTTAAATTTTAGTCAATAAATTATTATCACTTTATCAATTTTTATTTATAAGATTTTTAAGATATGATAAGTACTATGAATTTGATTAACATTTTACAAAAAAAACCCGAAAAGGTACGCGATCGACTTGTACAAAACTTTCGTGATGCATCAATACTCTAGAAACTGATGCATCACCGAAAAGCTGAACAATCATATGAAAAAAGGAATATTTAAGGGCTGCGGAAATTAAATTGACGTTACAGTCGCAATACTAAACGTCGCTTTCCAAGCAACGTCCTGCGAATGAAACGTTTGTGATTTTTCGAGATGCACTGATGCTCTAATGGATGGCCATTGAATGCAATCACGAGGAAAAAAAAATATATGCTCGAATATATCAATTCCTGGATCTGACGACTATCTCGGTCAAGAGACACAAAAATCGGTCAAGCGCATCTGCTTCAAATACACTCCACTTTAATTTACTGAATATTAGTAATATACTGAATAAAAATAAAATAGTATTTTATTATTTTACTTATACATATATAATGAAGTAATATGGTACGTTAAAATTCTGTGATTATTATAGTATGATTTGAAATATGGTAGTATAATTAGTAGCAAAAGTATTTATTATGTTCAAAGATTTAGTAGCATGTAAGTATTTTTTTAATTACATAAGCAAGAATATTACATTTTCAATCTTAAAAGAATAAATGCTATATATTCTGTAGTATCAGTGATTCAAAATTTATACGCGACTTTTCACTGCTTTCTGTATTTTTAAAATACATTACCGTGTATCTCACACATATTATTAAGATATTTGGTCTATATTTTTGTTGCTCGACCTCAATATTTCTTTTATCGAACATTGTGATTCATAGCGGAAAAGTAAAGCGAAATTTTCACATTATTAAAAGAAAAGTCCAAGTCGATTCCAAAGCTGCGGATGAGATCAGAAAGAATATCAGATTGAGTGTTTCAAACTCAAGTTACATTAGCAACTAAATTCTCGTTTCTTACAAAATGAAACAGACACTAAAGGCGAATTCTGATATTTTTCAATGTGGACGGAAAAGATAAATTAATATTTCATTTCCATCGATATT